AGATCCAATAAAGGGGAAAAAACACAACATTTCTTAAAATGTTAACAAAGTGTTTTAACAATGTGCTAAACATGCTACTTGTAGGGGGCAGTGGTCACAATACCCCAAATGTAAAATGTACATCATACACATATTCATAATTAAAATACGCTTCCAAAACTTCCTCTGTCACTGAATATGATTAAATGCACTTCGAAGAACATATAATGGACTCTCGGGAGCTGAAATAGGTGTGCGCGCCAACACACCTGCGTTGATACAAAAACAGTATATACACACAGTGAGGAGCGACAACCAGACACAGTTGCCCATTCACCCAAATATGTGCACACAGACAATAGCCTGAAACTCCCCTCCAGCCTGGCAGGTAATTGCTGTCTATGGGGGGACAGGTGCTTCTACAATAGAGCGCCAGTGTCCAGGCAGGCTCTATTCACTGCCACTGTAATTACCTAATTGAAAAGCTCACAGGGGAAAGAGAGAGAGTGTATTGGTGTGTGTGTGTGTGTGTGTGTGTGTGTGTGTGTGTGTGTGTGTGTGTGATAAAGAGAGAGTGTATGGAGACTTGGATAAAAAGAGGAGAAGAGGAAAGATAAGTGCTGAGCTTATGGAGTACAATAAAGGCTTTGCACCACACACACATGCTTGTACTGCACGTGCACATGCGCACGCTTCCGGAATTTTTTTCTTCCCATAAGGAAAAATATTCAAATGGCCACACCTGTATGTCCACACATAGAAGCATTCTGAATCGGATCCCTCCAGGGCTAAATATTGTAGCGAGCATGATTGAGAGATGGAGCGAAGGAGGGAGTAGTAATGGGAAATCTATTGTTGTAAGATAGGGATGCAGCAGGGAAAAGAGGAGGAGGGTCAGGGTGTGTTGAGATATAAAAGCGGCAGGGTCACTCTCATTTCTGATGTCAGCCTCTCCATCTCTGAGCCCTCTCCATGCTTTGGCTGTAAGTTTTATATGTGATATATAGTCAAGGAAGAGCAGATGGGGTCTGCGTGTATGTGGGTGTATGTGTTTCACGTGTGAATTCAAATACATACAAATATGCACCTCGGTGCTCCCATTCACTGCAGAAAAAACAATGTTCTATAACAGTTTTTATTAGCAATAATCCTCTACCTGTACGCTTCTGCAGTCAGATTAAAAGGAACAGTCAGCATTTTGGGGAATACTATTCTTTGCTGAGAGATTCATGACAATATTTCTAACATTTCCTGTCTCTACTGTAAATGTGTAGCTTATTTGTACGTGCAGTATTTCACAAAAATTACATTTCATAAGCAAAGTTACCCATTTGCTAACAGTAGCTTCATTTTAATTACAATCCAAGCAAGTGAGTGCATTTTCACAAAATATCTGACATTTCCTGTCATTGCTTTTAAAACCTTTTCTAGATTCTATATTTTGTAAATTCGGCTTTTGGAAACACTTCAAATCCACAATGAACATCCAATTTGTTGAAAGCTCATCCCAAAAACCTCACATGCTTCGAAAGAACAATAAGGTGCTGTCGTTGTCCTTGGGTTTGGTCGTTGTTTGCCCTACTGTTGCAACCTTGTTTTGGCTCATTTGTGCGTCCGTGGTTGACTACAAACTGAAGGAGCTCGTATGCCCAAGGCTGAGGTAGACTCACGCTGTTGTTCTTGAAATGCTCAGAGAGAAAAACTCCTGTAACAAACTCTTTGAATTCTGTTGCCTATTCTTCAAAATCACTGTGTTCGATCGGATCGGATATTTGTATTCAGAGTACAGCTGGACAGTTTGTGTGCTCTCCGATGGGTACGGGGAAAAAGAAGTCAGGCATGAGAAACTGCAGAGGATTTCAAAGGTGGATCCTTGTCGAAAAAACGGCTAAGGATAGGAATTTAGGCATGTGAGAAGAAAAGACAGAATCGGAGATATGAGTGCAAAATGAAAGGATAAAAAATAAAAGCCAGAAACTGTTTTAAGGACAAAAACAAGCAGTAGGATCACTTTTGGCTGACAACTTAATATTGGTGGGAGAATCCCAAATGCTGGCTCCCTTGAGCACAACACAGTCTCTCACAGGCCTGGATAGGCATCATTTGGCTTGGCTTCGTGGCATTTACTATGTCGAATCTGACAAACACACACTGCAAATAAGCCGTGAAGAAAATGAACCAATCTGCAGAAATTCCCCTCACTCTCTATCAGTGGAACAAATTCAGCGTCAGTGTGAGAGGAGATGTCATACTCTATCGCACTGGGCATCAAACGCACCCTGGAGTTGCACGCGCGTAAATAAGCGTAAGACATGACATGCTTCTTGTGGGGAACATCTTGGCTTAGTAATGCTCTCTTTCTCTCTCTCATGTCTTGCGAGAGTTCTATGTAAACCCCGTTAGATTTAAATGGCACCCTGCTGTGCAATCCAGCGGTGCACGTATACGTCTCCGATGTGGGGAGCAGGAGTTGCACATAGTATAGCAGCAATGTTATGTTTGTTTGCTGTGCGTACATGTTTGAATATGTGTACGTTATGTATCCATATACTGTATGCCAGATTTCATAAGTATAACAAAAGAGCAAAACTTAAAAACAAAACCCTCAACAGTAAGAAATGCTCCAAAACGTGATGATTTCTTTTGTTTCTTTAGGTGTTTATGGACAAATGAGTATTAATAAACACAACAGAAAGGCATGATTACTTTAAGTTAATATTAATTTAATATTATCGATTAAATTAAGTTGACTTTACCTAGAAACTTAAGCAAACTCATCTCATCTTTAAAGGATTTACGCAAACTTGTGCACGACTTAAAGATATGACACATGAACTTATAATCAAAGCAACATTACATGGTAGTTCAGCAAATTAGTAGTAGTTAAAGTAATTTAACTATGTCACTATTAATACCCTAGATTTTTCATGGTATTTACAGTCATGTGAAAAAGAAGTCTTAACAGAACTCTGTGCAGTCCAAAGTGCAATGCTCAGAGAAACTGCAAAAAACCAAGAGCTACGTTCAACTTCATGACAGTATATTGAGAAAAAGGCTGGACAAGTAGGCTGGTTTAGAAGGGTTGCCAGGAGAAAGCCTCTTCTCTAAAGACAACATGGCAGCACTTAGATTTGCAAAGTTGGATCTGATCAAAACACAAGACCCTACATTGCAGCATAGGGCCTGGACCAAATACACAGATCTGACTATGAACTCCTGTGTATATCAAAGTATTCGAGGACCAAATGTGAGGACATCTGTCTGACAGCTAACGCTTGATAAAAGTGGATCATGCAACAGGACAACTGTCTCAAGCACAGCAGCAAATCTACAACAGAATGGCCAAAAAAAGAGGAACAAATCAAGGTACTACAGAGGTCCACCCAAAGTCCAGACCACAACCCGATTGAAATGCTGTGGCAGGACCTTAAGAAAGCTGTGAATAAGTAATGCCTGCAAACCTCAATCAAACAAAGTGCCAAAATTCCTCCACAACAATGTGAGAGGCTGATAACGTTGTATATATACAATAAATTCAAGTTAGTGCTGCCAAAGTTGGTTCTGCAAGCTACTGAATCATGCCATGTAGCTTCCTGCATGCTTTGACGGATGGATGGATGAATGGATGATACAGCACGGGCAGATGGACCATGGATAGACAGATGGATGGATGGGAAAATGGATGGATTGATGCATGGGATGGATGACTTCTTGACTTCGTGGCTCAAGAGTTGGGAGTTCGCCTTGTATCGCGAAGGTTGCCGGTTCGAGCCCCGGCTTGGACAGTCTCGGTCGTTGTGTCCTTGGGCAAGACACTTCACCCGTTGCCTACTGGTGGTGGTCAGAGGGCCCGGTGGCGCCAGTGTCCGGCAGCCTCGCCTCTGTCAGTGCGCCCCAGGGTGGCTGTGGCTACAATGTAGCTTGCCATCACCAGTGTGTGAATGAGTGGTAGTGTAAAGCGCTATACAAATTAGGGCTGCCACGATTTGTCGACTAGTCACGATTACGTCGACTATCAAAATCGTCGACGACTGATTTAATAGTCGACGTGTCGTTTGAAGCTTTGTAAGATCGCAAAAGACGCAGGAATAAGTAGCAGGATTTAAGAGTGTAATAACGGACTGAAACAGAAGATGGCAGCACTGCATGTACAAGGATGCCAGCTGCCGTTAAACACCGAAGAAGAAGAAGCAGCTGTGTCCCAGAATTCATAGCGCGGCCCAGCTTAGTTTCCAACAATGGCGGTAGCTAGTTAGTTTTAATATTACTCTTATTATTCTTTCTGGGTCACAAAATAAACGTTTAACATATTTTCAGGCGAGAATGTAGCTGTGTAAACCTCAAATATCGGCTCAGTTTATCAGGACACCACATATTTTCAAAAGCGCTCCGACGTTTTCGGAGACGTCTGTTACCCACTAGCTCGATAGCTAGCCGGGGGCTAGGTCACTAGCGCGTGAGAACACCGGACTCCCGGCAAATTGTTTTCAAACCCACCGCCGTCTTTCGCGACTCAGGTTAAATATAGAGACTCCCGGCAAATTGTTTTCAAACCCACCGCCGTCTTTCGCGACTCAGGTTAAACATATATATGAGTCACTTAGATAAATTAAAAATGTTGTTGTTTGGCTTTTTTTTTTTTTAGTATTTTATTTGTTCCTGAGTAAATCGGTTTGGCTGAGATTAAAGTTATAGTTTTTACACAGCTGAATAAACGTCAAGCAGACAGCTGATTATCAGAAGTGTGAGATGCTGGAGAATATACTCCGGTGTCCTGTTATATTTTAGATAGCAAGGAGTTTATTAAACTTCACCGAAACAATCTGCAAATTTCATTAAAATTGAATAAACTATCATCTTGTCTTTATTTTTAGTTAGCACCTTAAAAGCTTAAAGCTGTAAGCTAATGATAGTTATATAAGAGCAGATGCTGCTGGTGCAATAAGCTGTAGTTTTACGTCCAGTGGATGATGATCTGATTAGTCGACTAATCGCATAAATAATCGGTGACTAGTCGACTATCAAAATAATCGTTTGTGGCAGCCCTAATACAAATACAGGCCATTTAAATATTGCTTTAATAAAGTGTATTGAATAATTATGAACTTTCAGTAACCAGTGGTAAGGCAAAAAAAGTGAAAACCAAATAAATCCCATAACGGTGGTGGGGGTTTGAGCTACAGTGAACTTTTAAAAACTTTCAGAAGTGCTCTATTCACTATTTATTTTTTGTGATTTCTTTTTCAGTGAAAATGCCAGAATAAACGTATAAACTCTGAAGCTTCTGAAGATTAACAGTTGTGTACATTGTTATGTTTCTCCAAGCTGGATGTCCTTGTTTCTTCGGTTAACTCTGATCACAAGTGACTCCTAATCTGTGGTCCTATATGAGCAGGCACATCACATCAGACTTTTGAAGCCTTGCGCAGGTCTCTGAGTGTTGGTGTGTCATTCATCACTACAGTCCAAGACCGAAATATCACAGCAGCTGCAGACTCTAAAGCCCTTTTCATCAGTCTGTCATTCAGATTTATCTTATTTTTACATTAACATTTCTCAAAGCCTCATTCAGACATACCCACACTGATTGAGAGCCACAGTGCCATAGGTGCAAAACAGCTGTTCTATACCCCCACTTCCACACACGCTTATTAGAAAGGGAGTCCTCTCACTTTTAAACTAGCAATACCAAAAATTTACAAATTTACAGTGCTGCTGCAAATAAGAAACTTTGCCAGTTGGATAAGATGTGCATGTTAATGCAAGATTAGTAATAATACAAGCCTCATTGCTGTTTATGGCATTTTGGTGGGTTGAGGGACTCACAAAGACACACAAGAGTCATCTATCACTGGAATCTCGTGTGTATCAATTAATGAGACGTTAATTGTGAAGTCCTGAAACTGATGTAAATGCCAACAGTGACCTACACGGCTCATTCAAACATGTAATTAACATATTTAGATGCAGTCAGATTCATTCATGGTAACGTGCGCTAGTTTGAAATGGGCTTTAGTGTCTCTTCCTCCATCCACACATAGCAAACAGATCAGCCGCAAAATTTGCCTAATTCACAGCAGACTGTTCTTGTGAACCTTTATCTAACGTCTATCTATAAATCCTCATAAGTACAACTTCCAGCACGTAGGGTAACCCAACAGCTCATCGGATGTTTAGGGAAATGTAGGATGCTGTGCTTTTGTGCTGGTTAAGAGATGCAATTAGTAAACAGTGTGTTGTTTCTTCCATGAGACAGCCCATATACCTGAAATATGTTTCTCTCTGAATCTGCTTCTCTTTGTTTCTTTTGATGATACTATTTTGAGGTTCAACTCTGTTGTCAAGCAAGAGAAGAAGAAAAAAAACCTTCAAAAGATAAAGCTCTGAAGCAACAAAGTGCTCTAATTGCTGTATTGGCTATGACAGCCTCGTTCTTTTCTTTCATCACCAACACACTCCATCAACCTTTTCTCTGTCCTCCTGCAGTGCACTCATCTCTCCTCTTCAACATTTTGTCCTGTGACAGTAGCGAAAAATGGCCGACCTTACCTGGATTTACCCCTCCTTCCCCATTATTTCTCTTTTTGTCCATCGCAAACAGACACATCTAATTATTTTGCGATGTGCCCATTTTTTTCCCCTCTGCATCTTCCACTCGAACCACTCTGAACACTGGAGGTCACATATTTAAATAGTTTCTCTTCCCATCCGCGATGAGCACAAAAAGACATAAAACCAGAGTTATTTATTATGATATAAAACACGCAGTTTCGGGAAAATGAAACCTTGGAAGATGGACGATATTGAATTTTTCAAGATGGTGCTCGGTTCGAGCCATTGTCTTCCCCCTCTCCCTCGGTCTCTCTGGGGACCCGGCACTGTTACGTGTTGCATTTAAGCACACAGGTCAATAAAGGTAATTGATAAGCTCTAGGATATATTGTGATAAATGAAGGATATCTCTGGTGCAATAAATCAAACTACCTCTCAGGCTATAAATGGACAATTGTATGCCCCCGCCTAATGGGAATAAGCATAAACTCATCTCCGTATAACAGACAGACATCTATAGAGCTGTATTATTGGGCCATCACTTACACTTTATGAGCACCTCAGATACTGAGGCAGGGCCAGTGCAGCATCTCGGAAGGCCAGTTTATAGATTATTGGCAAGTCCATCGATCTGTCCGAAGAAGCCTTGGAATCACTTTTTCAACTGAGACGGGCAGAGCTGACAAGTGCCTTATACGGCTAAAAATTAAACGTAACGTAAGATGCTTAAATTTGTCTTCCTATTAAATAATACCAAGAAACTTACATTCCAGACTCATGAGTTATTTAATATTGCTTTATGGCAGTTTACTTGATATTCTCCCCATCAAAGGGTAAACGTCTTCTACAGGCACTAGTGAACACATGAAAAACTGCTGCCCTCTAGTGGTCGCAAGCTGAAATGATCTTTATCCATTTTTATTTTGAACATAACAAAACAATGACGCACATTACTGTCACAAAACCGTCACACTCACATACACACTCGCAGTTATAACATTTTAAATTTGAACAATTAAAAACAAAAAAAAAAAAAAAAAAAAAAAAAACCACCCAGCAGTGCAAAAACTATTTAAAACAAACAAACAAATACTTTGGCATCAGGAAAGAGCTCACAGCTTATTTGCACATTCACCAGAATTATTTCAGCACAACTATATGCTAATATATATTTAGACAGCTATTTCACCCCATTTTTAAACTCACATTTCCATCATGTGTATACTGGCACACGCTTTCAGTACATTGTACGCATTTATTTTTTTTCCATGGTCCTTTCTCATAAATAACTGCTGAGTGGTTTCTGGAAGCTGAACAAAAAAGAAAAGTGGTCCAGTGCATGTGCCTCTCCAACTGAGCGCTGCAGAAAGCCTTTTTGTCCAGTTTTGATGAGATTATTTTCTCTTGTGGCTCACAAGGTTCAAAATAAATTCTCCAATATGGAATAAAAAAAAAAAAATCTTCTGTTCTCAATTTTAAAAATTCATGAAAGGAAAAAAAAAGCGAAGTCCTTGTTTCAATTTGCGGCCAAGATCAGAGCTTTGTTACAAGCCCGTCTGGCCTGTTCTACATTGTAGTCCATTTTAGAGCTTTTGCGTCACTCTTGGTGGTTTACAAGAGCTGAGCAGTCATTAGTCTCAGTCTAAGACTAGCCCAGCTGCCTCAACTCAAGCAGCTGATGACAAAGTTTCACTCATTAGATTTTTTTTTTGTGTTTAGGCTTTCAAGATCAGCAGGTACGACTTCAATTCCTTGCAAAAGCTCATCATCCATAAAGCCCGTGTCCCGTCATTGTCCTTCAGGTTCGTCACCGCTCCCGAGTTTTCCTGTTGATCTTTGCCACACTGTTCCTCAGTCTCTTCGTAAAGAGTGTGTGTGATTTACCACAATAAGTGTGTGTCGTTTTTAACAGTTCCTCTTCTAAAGGCTCCAACAAAGACGTCACTGGGTCTGTGCCGAAAGTGTACTGGAACGACAAAACAGGCCTTTCGTTAAGTCTGGCTTTGTGTTTTCAGCTTAACTTTGAGTTAAATTCCAAAGCTTTAATCTGTTTCAGCTTGGACCACGACAAAGAAAAGACGCGTGATATTTCAATCTGCAGTCTGTTCTGTATCCTATGACCTCTCTGCCTGTCCAATCCAATATATGGAAGGCATAAAGCGAGGAACGCAAACGCATATACAGAAAGCCAGAGGAGGAGCGCATGTTTCATTTAATTTCTCCCTCTTGAACAAAAGCCTAAAGAACATAAAAAACACTAAAAACTAAAGAACATTCTCTTTGTGTGAATCAAAGCTCAATATCAAATTTGGCATTTCACATGTAATGGAGACCTTTGTGTCCAACACGCAGGCAAAATAACTTACACTATCCCATTTCTGTTTCTTAAGTATGCTAGTGTCCTTATGGCTCTGCAGTTGGCTCAGAAACGTGAAACGAGAAGCAGCAGAACTGATCAGATTTCCCAAGTGAGCGAGCAAAGTGGTGTGCTGAGCTGAATTTGTGCTCAGAAGATGCGTTTCCTTAGATACATTAAAAACTAAATCAGCTTCAATCATGAGGGACTCCAAATCTGATTGGTCAGCCAGGCTTGCACATAAACCGCTGGGTGTTGATGGGGGTCAGTTTTATGCTATAGGCTTACCATCCAGTAACAGCCAGGGATTAGAGGAAGAATTTCATGTCTTCCCAATAATGAAGGGCCCTTTACAATACTCTGAGGAAATCAATGGGGAATTACCATTTTTTATGCCAGCTCATTTACTTGCAGTTGGGTCTGATATTCGGTCACAAAGAGCAAGAGGTTTTTATGAGCGCATACTTATACACACCCGCTGCTCATAAAGTTGCATTTACAGTTGGGTGTATTGATTTTGTGCGGCTGATGGGGCGCTGCTGGTGCGCACACTCCAACTCTAAAAGTGCCACCAGCTGTAAAAATTTAACTGCTGCTTCCTGGGCGCAGCTTTTTTTTGCAGCGGCGGGAGGGAGGAGATGCTTTACGACAAACAGGCCGATGTGCTGTGTTGGAGGCAGGGGAGGGGCCGTACCCTCGCTTCTTTGTGTGTGGATGCAGAGCATGGACATTGACTTACACACACCGTCTCCGGTTTATTGGGAATATTAACTGCTAGAATAAAGATCCTGGTTAAAATATTAACCAAAAAAAGGGGGAAAGAAGTAAATCATTAGTTTTAGCATTAGCACAAATGATGCATTCAGGAGCCTTTGTCCTGCTGTGTAGCTGCTTATATATACACGAGTTGCATAACCCAGTGGTTCCTGGGCACAAAATGTGAGAGATGAAAATTGGTCTATTGTAGTAGTCCTGCAGTCATCTCACAATGTGACTGCTGTTATTATTGTCTACGTCTACAAACTCACTCATATTTAGAGGGTATGACGTACGCTCTCATTCTTGCTGCTCCTTCTGAGCCACAGTTTATCTTGTAAATAACATTCTGAAATTTCAAAGTAAAGGCACCGTCAGAACCTGCCTTTTCTCACGGTTTCCCTAACGATCATCACTGTGCCTCAGCCCCAAGTCACCTGACTGCACACCTGCTCTGTATTAGTATTCATTCATCACGTGCTGTTCAACCAGAAAAGCTTCTCCAACAGCTCAGGGGAGTGTGGCACTTCCACTGTGGAGGTTTTGATAAGAAATTTGATAAAAGCTGCCTTGACTGGGGTCGTCTATCCTTGACATCACCGTCCATCAGCACAACCCTGCAGGGATAACGCTGCGCTTCTGCTTTCACAACAGTAACTGTGACAATACATACTTGCATACATTTCTTGGTAAATGCACATGGTACTGTCCTGCTACTATGAAGTGTAGCTGTACAACAAGCTCAAAGCATGAAATGTTTTTTCAGGAACTATTAAACGCACAAGACTAATCCATACTCTTGCATCCTTCTGGCAAACCAGACTTAAATCTATAAAAGTATTGTGCAGAATGAGTGGGTGTCTCCACCTGCACATACAGTGCTGGTTAATGTGTCTACTGCCATAATTGATCCTGTCCTGGAAAGCCACAGTCTTAACTGCAGGCCAAGGATAAGGTATAGATAAGGCATTACGCTGATCTATGTTCAATAGGAAAGCAATGAGGCTCCCAGTGTTGATGGCTTCATTAAGTAAATGCCACTCATGTCGTCAATATCATTACACTGCTGGTAAGCAACCCATAAACATCCTCGTGGGGGAAATTAGCTTTCCTCCAACCTTCTGCCAGTGGTGGAGATTTGTGTCTTCCAATGCAGACAATCTGAAGTCACCAGCACTTTTAGTCTTTAGGGTCAACACCAATCTGAAATCTCATCAAGGAGGGGAACGAATCAGGGCACGAGGTGTGTCTCTGGGTTCAGAGGGGCTATAAAAGGGCTTTCCATCAGACGTTGCGCTAAATTGCAGCTACAATACGTTGAAAAGGTTCAACAAGTCACTTTTTAAACCTGGGACACTTTGACATTAGCTTTTTGCTGCTTTTCATTCTGTCATATGAATGTAAACTTATCCATTTGTCTTCCACTAACAATATCTGTCTTTTGTATTTTTACACACCTCTGTTGCTTGTGAAGCTCGCACACAAGAATTTCACTCGCATGTACTGTACCAGTGTACCTGCACATGTGATGTGACAATAAAAGTGATTTGATTTTGATTTAAAAAGTATATAATCACTGTGTGTTGTTAAAACCCCTAAAACCATACACACACACACACACACACACGACTGTCTTTAGCCGTTTCTGTTTCTAGACCCTTTCACGTCTGTCATGTGTGTTCAGGGTGAACATGCTCTCATCTGTGAAATGCACAGGTCGGCAGTGGTGGACCTGCTCATCCTGGTATTCTATGGCAAATGGCACGGCACCGACAGACCAGGCTCATGTTGTTTGGTCAGAGACATTTACACCAGTGGGCTGCTGGAGGTCATTTTGCAGCTCTGGCAGTGCTTATCCCGCTCCTCCTTGCACAAAACAGCAGATACTGGTCCTGTTGATTGATTGATTAAGGGCCTTCTACGGCCCAGTTCATCTCTCCTAGAGTAACCGCCTGTCTCCTAGAATCTTCTCTATGCTCTTGAGAGTGTGCTGGAAGACACAGCAAACCCTCTGGCAAAGGCACCTATTGATGTGCCTTTCTGGAAGAACTGGAATACCTGTGCAACATCTGTAGGGTCTAGGTATCACCTCAAGCTAGCAGCAGTGACACTGATACTAGCCAAACACAAAACAAGTGAAAGAATATTCAGAAAGGATAAGGAAGGAAAATTATCAGCAGCCTCCACCTGTGAAACCATTTCTTTTCATGGTTGTCTCATTGTTGCTCCTTTTTCATTAACACAAAGCAGTTGAAACTGATTTGTGTTAATGAAAAAGGAGCAACCGACCCCCTCTACTTAACTGACCAGATCAATATCCAGAAGTTTCACTGACATGCTGGTACACTCACATATTTATACCATACCACGATTGTTCCTTTAATTTTTCTGAGCAGCATAAATATCCCAGTAACACTCACATAATCCAAAAACACACCATGGCATGCTGACCTTTTTTATGGCTTCGTAAACAGCCCTGAAAGTAGGCTGTTTGTAGTCGTGGTAAACTCCTCTGTTTCCATGGAGTATGTAGATGCCATCCTCCTCAGCTGAGGCACAGTTGCTGCCATAGATGCAGTGATCCGGGCGATAGTTCCACTGGCACGGAAACTCCAGCAAGGACTCTGCAGACAGAAGCAGATGACAAAGGTGGCACAAACTTGGTATTCTGTACACTTTTACAGATACGATATGCTGTGAATTAGTAACTTAGTGTGTGTCTAAATGCGTGCAGTCATACCAGGGTTATAGTGGAAAATGATATTTAGTAGGTCCTGGTCTCCCCATGTTATGTTCAGTTTATATTTCTGGAGTAGAGGCATCAGGAGCTCTTCCCAGCGCAGCCCCACTGATGTCATGTCATTCTGTCAACACAGACAAGCACACACACACACACACACACACACACACAACACGATTATATTTACAGTTTTGGTGCAGGGAGGTTCGCACTGGCACTTTCATGGACTTGAGTGCAAATCCACTAGAGAAGGAGGACATCTTGTGGTCACTAAAGGTAATACACCGATACAACCTCACCTTAAAGAACATGCTCCTCATACGTGTCAGATTCATGAGCATGACCCCTGAGTTGATGCCCGTCCTGCCGTAGAACGGGTGACGGGCAAAGCGATTGTACCAGGCGATGCGGGGCTCCTCGTGCTCTGGAGCCATAGCAGCCAGCTGAGAAGAATTAAAGTCAGACAGGAACCTCCACAAGAGGTCCACCGGCTGCAGGAAGAGGATGTCTGAGTCCACATACACAATAGAGTCAACGTCCTCTAAGATGAGCTGGGAAAGGACAACAGATGGAATATTTGTGATGCTCATGTAAGTGCAGAAAAGCATACTTCACAGACTTGAAGTAATCCAAAATAAAAATCACTACGAATACATTTTTCAACTTCACTCTTCAGAATTAAAATAATATTACAGCTTACAGGTAAGAAGAGTCGCTGTGAAGCGCAGGGTTTGAAGAGTTTCTTCCACTCCGCTGCATTCTCATTGGGGAACCTGATGGAGTAGACTCTGTAGCTGAACCTGTAGCGAATAAAACCAGGCCACGACTCCAACTGGAACACAGATATGAATGCACTGGTTTTGCTACCTGAAGTAATGCGCAATATGGCATTCGTAATCATCAGCACTCAACAGAAATGGCTACCAATGTTAGGTTTCATTGTTACGCTTCAAAAGCAAAGTTACCCACTCACAGCTTCAATGAAGCCGGCGTGAAGCTGATCGTCTGCAAAGATGTGCAGATGGAGGCGCTTGACGCTGAAGAGCACAGCAGACTTAATCATGGTGAGCGTCTCCTCCAGCCTCTCCCCGCAGGCCACCACAGCCAAGTGCATGGGAGGTTCAGGCCTGGTACCAGCAGCCTCCTGCTGAGCCTGCTGACGCATGATGTACCTGAGGGAGAAGACGTAATTGGAGGTGCGTTACACTCGGGCAGAGCCACACTCGAGATATTTTGGGCAAGATGATCTGAGTCCTATAACAGTAATAAACTTACCATATAGGAGGCAAGCTAGTATTTATTATATTCCTTTAGTGCAAAGGGTGGAGGATTTGGTGAGTGTGACTTGATCTCTCTAGAGCACTCACACTGTAGTTGTTTTAAGCCATGCCTGTATTTAACTGCACCCAGTAATTCTAATCGTGAATAAATCCCCAAAGTAGTCATTTGTCACTACGGTGAAGAACTGTCGCTTTCTTTGTCTTATGTGAAAGAAACTTTTAAATTCTGGACTAAAAAACGTGTTTCAAAATGTATTTTCTAACCCCCTTAATAGAAAATAAAATCCCCCCAAAAATTGTGCTTCAGGCTGGGATACTTAAACCACTACGCTGTACAACAGTATTTGGCGCCCTCTGCTGGATTAAATATGCAAAGACGCTATCTAAAACGTATCCTGAGCCTTTCCCCCCATTATTTTCTGGGTACAAGTAGAAATTGTGATTATTCAGATAAATCTGTGACAGAAAATATCAACACGTTATTCAGATGTTTAATCCATTTAGTATGAAGTACCCACTTTTCTCTTCCTTTACTCTGCCCAAACCTGAACCATAGCAAACACAGCCATGTGTGGACACCATGTTGATTTAAAGCAGCGTGATAAAAACACACATTTAGGCTACGTCAGTTATTTTTGTACTAGCACATTTTTTAATTCATTTGCCAAAGATATGGCTGTGGGACACACAATGTGTGGTTTACACAGATCCTACATCACTGACATATCGACACATATCTTTTATACATGAGACCTGCACGTTAAAGTGCAAACCTAAGCAGGTACTGTGCAGCATGTCTAAATATTTACTTGTTGAGCTTCCCTATGACCGAGTCGCATTCCTGATGTGATTCCTGAGTGATTACACATGAGTACCGGCGCATGCTTTCTGAGTTTTACAGCTTGTCCCGTGAAGCACAACAACGTTGTTTCGATTTATTAAAACATTGAAAATCCTACCAATTGAACGAGAGTGCGTTTTTATCCGTGACCCCTCGCCTGGCTCCAGACGTTCTCAGTGGGATGAGAATCTTCTTTGCTCCGTTTCTTCTGGCGGACACGTCCGAGTAAAAGAGCCTGCTGTAAACATACAAGCCCGAAAACACGGCAAACACCATGCACAGCATCAGTGCACGCATGTACCGCCGCATTATACAGTTTCAAAACGCAACTCGGAGCTGAAATCATTACACAGAAACTAGCATTTAATCATAGGCCGCTAAGCTAGACGCCGCGGTAACGCATATCCGGCGGGGATTTACAAAATTAAACTCACTCCAGCACCAATTACGCCCCCTGGCGGTGGTTTGTTTTCTTTTCTTTTGTTTTTTCTTTTTTTTTT